TCTCTCTCTCTCTCTCTCTCTCTCTCTCTCTCTCTCTCTCTCTCTCTCTCTCTCTCTCTCTCTCTCTCTCTCTCTCTCTCTCTCCATCCACAAATTATCACAAACCATCCATACAACGAAGAATGTATCGATAGGCAATATAGTAGAAGATGCAAGGTTGGACACTTTTCTGTGCTTAAGTGCCAAGTGCCCACACATCCTTCTGTCGTCGAAGCGGCACACTGGCACAAATTATGTGTGTGTGCGTGTGTGTGATGTTTAAGTATATTGTAAACCCCAGTTATCAGCTTCACACCAAGACATGGTTTTCCCCAGGGACTAGACTCAACATTACCTCCCTAAGATGCGTTCCAACGCTTCACAGTTAAGTGCACTCACAAGCAAAAGACACAGAGTGCCCACAACATAGATACTAAAGATACAACAGCTAGAGGGCCGGGGGGAAGCGGGAGGGCAGACAATGTGCAAGCACACCAACAGGCAAAGTCCCAAAAGGATGCCAAGACCAGGCAGACAAGAAAAACACCAGAGCAAAGCAAGCAAAAGGACATCAAGGCATAGGCTGGAGGGCACGGGGAAGGCGGGAGGGAAGACAACATGCAAGAACACGAAACGACACACAAGCACACGAAAGCAGGTAAACCGAAAAAAATACAAGTCCCCAGTAAATTGGAAGACCAAAAAAAATAAACTGATGATGACAAGATTGTTTCGTCGGAGTTGCACCGACTCATCCGGAGGCTGAACCAACACAGACATCCCGAACTGAGCGGCCCCCCTAAGAGTGCAGTTGGCGCTCCAAACGAGGAACTGCCGACTGTTTGGCACTACCCAAGGGTGCTCAGTTGGGCACACACAAAAATACTTAGAAAGAATTAGAGGGCAGAGGGAAGACAGACAATAGGAAAAAGACCGACGGACATAAAACTGATTGTGTGTGTGTGTGTGTGTGTGTGTGTGTGTGTGTGTGTGTGTGTGTGACCGTCACCAGAACAAATCCCTTTCCACCAGGGAATTGATGAGTACATCCAAATTTGTGTGTGTGTGTGTGTGTGTGTGTGTGTGTGTCAAAACTCACCTCATCCTCCTCATCGCCGATATCAACAGCATCTAGTACCTCCTGATCGTCATCCTTCAGCCTGTTGTCCTCATCAATTCCCTGCAACAGACAGCAAATGCACACGAATTCAAAACACGGACAAATGCGTAAGCCATGAACCTGGTCTTCAGCAACCAGGTTCTTGCAATTCGTTTGGCACCACATGGACCACGTGCAGCATTAATCTGCACCAGCATTGCACCAGCATTAATCTGCACCAGGATTAATCTCGACCAGCATTAATCTGAAGATTCTTAACAGACTCAACAGAGGGAAAATCTGCCAGGTGCAGCACTCATCTCGACCAGCTTTGCGCAGATCGTGGAGTAGATCGGCAATGCTTGGATTCTTCGTACAGACGATACAGACCTTAGCTCGTGCTCAGCGAATCATAAAAGGACGGAGAACCCGATTTCCCAACTTATCACTCGCCACCCTTCTTCACTCAATTTTTTACCTGATCATCCAACCATCAACCCCCCCCCCCCCCCC